AAAACATCGGATTTTAGAGTTGCCGTTTCGGGGTTGGGCCGTTTTGGGGGGTGTATTATAGCCATAGCATAACTTACCAGAAGAAATTCCCAATCCTAAGGTCCTAAAGAATGATACTGTTGATGATATGAATCCCACATTACCTTAGGGACCCTAAACTATGGGATTTATGGCATATTCCTTTATGTGTAATGCAAGTTTAGGGTTTAGGGTTTAGGGTTTAGGGATTTGCATCATCAACCGTATCGGTAAATCTTTGGGCTTCTGTGCCAATCTCTGGCAGCCCATCCTGGCCGTCGTTGAAGTGACCCAGGTGCGGAACGCACGCCTTTCAGTTTTGCAGTTGCAAACTTTTTTTTGGGGGGGGGCTCCTTTTCCTACTGATTTGTAACTGTTTAGGGTTTAGGGCTTTCGGGTTTAGCTAGGGTTTACGGCTTTAGGGTTTAGTTTTCGTTTAGGGCTTTTGGGTTGTTTCAGTTTAGGGCTTAGGGTCTACAGTATAGGGTCCAGCAGGGACATATCGATGAGAGCTTCACCAGACCGAGAGTCTTCTTCGCAACTTAGGGTTTAAGGTTTAGGGGTTTAGGGTTTAGGGAAAGCTTTGGAGAAGCATCACTGGCCGACATCTCGAATGCCACTGTCTAACCCAAATTTGTTTTGTTTAGGGCTTCAGGGTTTAAGGTTAAAGAATACGGCGAACGCCATGCAACCACGGAAGGAAGCACCCTTTTGGGAGTCGCAAAAACACCTTAGAGTCGTCAGAAGAAAAACAAACATTGGGGTTTAGGGTTGGGACCCTAAACCGTCTCAGCCACGAAGGTCTCTTCCAGACCCAAGCAAAACTCTCAACTCCTGGCTCCTACCCAAGCCACGACGATCCAAAATGGTCTAGGGCTTAGAGCGCGAGGTTCATGGACAGTGCCGTAAACCCTCACAATAGGGATTCACATCTAAGTTCGAGTCGTTTGGGATTTGGCTCCTTCAGGATCTGGGTCCAGGACTTAATCTACGAGCCCAATTAGCCAGAACAGTGCTTAGGATAATGATACTTTTGAACCCAGAGGGACAAGTACTCAGTCTTTTAGATCATGGTTTTGGGGAGCCCTAAACCCTAAACCCTATGCGCGGTGTGTCAAGAACGGCCAGATCAGATGGGCTCCGCGCCAACTTGAGTGCAGGACATTCCTCGGCTGTGCCGTGCGACTGGGAAGGATGCGACCAACCCCCGACCCCTTTTCTGCCGAACAAGGTGCTAGACTAGTACAGAATGAGATCTTCAGGCATAACCCTAAACCCTAAACCATAAACCCAAGCCCCAACACCTACGAATCGGAGGTCTGTCTTTCGAAAAGGTGCTGCTTAGCTCCAATGCTCTTTGGAACGCAACTGTCTGCAGTTTAGGGTTTGGGATTGAGGGAGTTGCTTTCTGTCTAAAGACTTACACCGCCCGAATCAGGAGCCATAACTTAATATCTCCGATTCCAGCGTGGATCCTCAACAACATCAAAATAAATAGAGCTCTTGGGATGTTGCACGGCAAGCTATATGACAGAACAACTATGTTAAGGAACCCTAGAAAATGCGGAATACTACTAATTATTCGGGATCCCTACCGCGGGACACTTAAGCACGCGACGGCGGAGCCTCTGGTTGAGCGTGTTCTCTAACTAAGTGCCCCTTGGGAAAGCTGCTTTGGGGTTAAGGTACAGCTCAGGATATCCTGAGATGTGGGAAACAAGCTACCCTATACTCTAAGCCCAACCTGTAGCCGAAAAGACCTACCTTTTTTGTCCTCTTCGTTACGGTCTATATGCAGTTCCTTACAAACCTAAGACTGTTGGGCAGGTACTCCCCAAACCATGAACTCCTAAACCCGCAACCAGGCTTGTCGTACAAGAATCGGCATCCAAGCCCGGCTGGAACATCACGCGATGGCTGGGCTGAGGGCCCGCTTCTCGAAACCCTAAGCAGCCCAATGAAGTTTTCGGACTGTGGCTTTGGGTCTTCGACAGTTTTAGCACATGAGAGCAGCGTTTGCAGCAGGAAGCTTTCGCTCCGCCAATGGGAGACACTTGTGGCATAGAGACTGTATGTTTACGAGTTGGGATTGGTGGCATATTATGTTGTACTACAGATAGAATGACGAAACCCAAAGAAGAATCTGATAAGCTATTCAGGCTTCTATACTACTATGGTGGCCTTGAAAATTAGAATAAGGGTTTGGGGCCCATTATACTATAATTATGATAATGAACCCCCAAAACAGTTTAGGTAATTATTAAAGCTTCAATATCAGAGGCTGCAGGGTTGGGCGGGACTTGATAGGGTACATCCTTTGGGCCATCCTTTGGGCTCGAAGGACGAAGCCTTCAATGTCTCTGTCTCTGTGGGGTTACAAGGTGAGGTTCATGTCAAATCGCGTGGGACTGTGCTGCAAGCCAGGGAGCAAGGACGCGATTTAGGGTTTAGGGCTTAGGGTCTAGAATTGTGGAGGGGTGTGTAGCAAGCATGGCATCATGAACTCGAAACACGAATGAAATCCTGCGACCCAAGCGTACTTGGGCAAGGGCAGCTCGGGGCTGCAATCCGCTAAACAATAAACCCTGCACCATGAACCCTACTTGAAGGATCATGGGACTTAGTAACTAGGGTTATTATTAGGGTAACTATACTTCTAACCCCAATTAAGGCACTCATAACCAGGGTTACCAAAGTCCCATGATCCTCCAAGTACACCGCCCCGCTTCACAGCCAGCGGGGCCCGGGACAACGGATGCACGGAGATTCAGGAACCACTGTCCTAAACCCTAAACCCTAAACCCCTAAACCCTAAACCCTAAACCCTTCCAGGAACCACTGAGGCCCAAAAACCCTTTCGAGCCGCAGCGATTGTGCGGCTTAGGTTTACACGTGAAGTATGGGGCTCGGTATGTCTCAGGGGTTCGTGATGGTGATGATGTCGATGGTCCAGGCACAGATGCGCAACCTGGAGCCACGAATCCTTTGTCGAACACCCAAATTTTGAACAAGAAGCCCAGAACCGGGTTGATCCCCTCCAACAGCTTTGGATTTCTCGCTCTTCGGCGCACTGCCGACCTGTTCCACAAGCCACGAGGCCTCGGGTGGACCACTATGGCTGATGGTCTAAATCCTGCATCGCCGTAGAACTCCTAGACTATAGGAGCTATAGCTATGCAAGTTACTGTGCACTGCTTTCCTTAGGCCGGGTAAAGCAGGATCTTGTCCATCAGCAGTATGTAGGTACGGTCTCAATCTCAGAGGAGCAAACACGCTGCAAATCTTGAAGTTAAGCCTCTGGGAAAACGGCATCAAAGCCCTCAACCAAGAAGGTGAAACCCTACTTGGAGGATCATCTGACCTAGTAAGTATTGTTATAAGTACCACAATCGGGATCTTAAGTAATGACAAGTACTTAAAGGATCATGGGACTTGGTAACTAGGGTTATTATTGGGGGGTGACTATACTTATACTTACTTATAACCCGAAGTAAGGTACTTATAACCATACCTACTAAGTCCTATGCAAGTACAGGTCCCCTAAGAATAACCGTAGTTACTACGTCCACAGCACCTCCAAGGTTTCTCGCCTTGAAGGTTCAGGTTTTCAAGGTCTGGGCTCTGGGGTTTGACGGCTAAAAGGGCTTAGAGGTGTAATGCTAAGCCCCTAAGCCTCAAAAACTACAACTTCTACAACCTAACCCCTGAACCCTCAATCCAAAATGTTTAGCTTAGCTTATATTTTATAATATTATCCCAAACAGAATAAAGTGTATCCACTCAGCTCTTAAGTTAGAGGCTCAGTGCCTTCAGGCTTTTTAACGCCGGCACCTACAGCCCGAGAGCCGCTGTACACGGCAGGTCAGGTCCAATCTGTCTTCTCGTCACTGTCGCTGGACCTCCGGGTTTAAAGATTGGGGATTTTGGGTTTAGGGATTTGGTGATTTTGGGTTTAGGGACTTGGGGATTTGGGGTTTAGGGATTTGGGGATGTGGGGTTTAGGGATTAGGGCTCAGGGATTAGTGCTTAGTTTAGGGTTTAGGGTTCAGGGTTTAGTGATTCACGGATCAGCGCGTAGGCTTTCGAGCGTTAGCGGGATTGTTGCAGAAAGTGCTACTTGAAGGGGCAGGGGACTTAGTAAGTAGGTTATAAGTAGAGTTACAAATACCCTAAATGGAGTCACCCCAATTATAACCCTACTTATAACCTACTTACTAATTCCCCTGCCCCTCCAAGTATGTCATTCCCATCGGATGGCACGAAAATTCATCAGCAGGCAACAGCCCTTAGGTGATCGCCAAGCAACAGGACCAGAGCATTTTTAAGGTGTTGTGCCCTAAGCGGTCCCAAATCCTACAACCACCTCAAGCTCCTTGCACCTGAACATCAGAACTGCTTCGAGGATGTATGGTTCAAGGTGTAGGATTTATTTACATGTCAGAGCTGAGGCTTTGGCTTCAAGCGGCGGCAAAGCTAAATCTTTTGACGGTTCGCTGCCAGATTGGTCGCACATGGTAAGGCATGGAGGCCGGGATTGCATCGGTCAAGCTCGAATACCCCATCGAGAGCGGAGACCTATGCCACGCCTCTCATGCTGAGAACAGTGTGCGAACTGCCCTCGGCTGGCCGATCTTCAGGGAACTATGCGGAAGGAGTGCGACGCCTTCGCAGACTATCTAGGAACCTAAGTCTCGGGATCCTGGGTGATAAAGGCCCCCAAAGCAGGGACCCAATATCTCCAGTAAACTCCACATGAATGGGCAGCAAGAAACATTGCCCATGGCCGAATTTGCACGTGAGAGACAGTATTCTCGAAGTCTGCGCTGTACAGGACTCCAGATGCTAGGCCAGGCTGCCTCCTGATGTTGCTTTGGTTCAAGATGTAGGGCGGAGCATTTGGGGCATTTAGGGTCTCTGCATCTCCGGATTCTGGAATCATCAACGTCCCCAGGAAAGCAGATCAGCCGCCATGCGAACTAAATTCACTGAGAGTCTTCGATGCTGATCACCACGTTCTCCTGGCAAACGGATTTAGGCTTTACAGTGTGGGGTTTAAGATTTAGGGCCTTTCGGACTCAGGGCTTGGGGTTAGGAAATGCCACTGCCACTGAAGAACGAAATGCTGGCAGGATGAAACAAAACCCGCAGGGCAGTGGCAAGAGTACTCTATTGCTTCCGCCTACACACTGCATCCCGCAAAGACTTCATTTAATGCCTCGGTCTAAACCAAAGGGCGCACAGCCAACAAAAAGTTGGAGCCCGACCGGAGCTCTCGAACCAAAGCCATCTGATCTGCGATGAACCCTGAAGACGGAGGTTCAAGCAGCGGCCTTTGTGCAGCTAGCAAGTTCTCAATACTGTTGGTCTTGCTTGTTCTATTCAACGTCTTAACATCAACCGAGGGCTCTTACCAGGCGCACGATGCTTGTTGCCAACCAACCCTCCAACACTCCTACGCCCTGGACCCGATACCCTGGCAAATCTTAAACCCTAAGCCCCTCAACCCGAACCCCTAAGCCGTGGAAAGCCACCAAACCCTAATCCCCTAAGCGCAAAAGACCCTGAACCCTGTACATAAGCCAGCTACTTGTCCAGCATCCTAGGGGAACTAAAGGTTCAACCTTTGGGATTACATAGGCTGTGGTATCCCAAAACTGCTAACAGATTTCATTTAAGTTACCATAAGAGCGATCTATAGAAAATCATAAGGTTTCTTTATTATAGTAACTTAAAATGGGTTCCTTAACAACTCAGCATAGGGGTTATGGTACCCCAAAAGGGTTTAAAGGTTGCCCGCTTTACGACCAAGCCCATATGCTTCGTTCTCCAAAGGAGGATCCAACTTAGTGTCCGCTTTATAAGGGTGCCGTACTCTGCCATTTTGCGGAACTTGACAAGGGAGCCTAATTTAGAGAACTACTCTTATAGTGCGCTTGTAGAAGCCCTTTTGTTTGGCCCTGTAGAAACCCGTATAGATCCCTTACCTGAAGCCCCAAACCCGTATAACCCCTCCCCCCGCGCTCCCTCCGATCCGGCCTCCGTCCGCGGGTGCGTGGGGAAGGGCGTCAGGGCGCCTTCCCTCTTAACCTGGGAATGAAATCAAGGGTCTTTGCTTAAAGGATCATGGGACTTAGGTAAGTATGGTTATAAGTATCTCAAAAAGGGGTTTCAGTAATTATAAGTATAGTTGCCTTAAAATAACACCAGCTATTATGTTCCATGATCCTTTAAGTGGGGCTTTAGGGGTTCAGGGTTTAGAATCGCGTTTAGAGTTTCGGGTTTCGGATTTAAAGTACAGGGGTTTCGGGCTTTAGAGTTAAGAGGATTTCAAAAAATGCTCGGGAACCCTAACCACAAAAAGTCAACACCCTAAACCCTAAAAGGGATCCCTTAGATTGGCCAAGTTCACAGGGACCAGGAGATCGACCACGGGCGCACCTGGCTCTCAGGGTTTATCTCGGCTGTCCAAGTTTGAGAAGTAGGGTTTAGGGTTTAGGGTGGACTTAAAAAAGCGGAAGTACCGAGCCTGAAGTATTTCGGCTCAAGACAACCTAGGACACACCACTGTGGGGTTTTGGGTCCTTTGGTGTTCTTTGTTGGGTTTGGGGTCCTTGGGTGTTGTGGGGTTACGTAGGCTTGGGGCTCTTGGTGTTTGTGCCTGGGGTTCGCGGAGTTTTGCCTCGGTTTGGTGTTCTTGAACCCTAAACACTAAACCGTAGACCCTAAACCCTAAACTCGAAGACCTGGAAAGGTTGAGCCTCAAGTTTAGGGGCTCCCCTCAGAGACCCCGCCGGTTCAGAACACCAACCCCAAATCCCACAAGCCTTGAAGCAAAAACCTCAAGATCCGAAGGACCCTAAACCCTAAACCCTAAACGCCCAAAACTTAGAACCTCAAGATCCGAAGGACCCTAAACCCTAAACCCTAAACGCCCAAAACTTAGAACCTCAAGACCCGAAGGCCTTGAACCTCGCAAAGCTTAGCACCCGAAGATCCCTTAGCCGAAACACCCGTCCGAAGTGCGAAAGCTTCGACAGTTGCGGGGGCCCGAACTCAGGACCCTGAATGCTAGACTAGAATCATGCCCTTAACTATGGGGAATTATGGTATACTCCTTATTCTGGGTAGCACAGGATTTATATCATCAACCGTAGAATCCTGCCTCTTAGGACTCTTACTTGGAGGATCATGGGACTTAGTAAGTATGGTTACAAGTTTTAAGTACCTCAGTTGGGATTATGACTAATTATAAGTATAGATACCTTAACTATAACCCGAGTTACTAAGTCCCATGATCCTTTAAGCACAGAAGGCACGCCATCAATCCCAATGCAGCCGTCTACCAACCATCACTATAAATTTCAACAAGAACCCTTGTCGACTCCTAAAACTAGCTCTCATGAAGACCTCATAAACCCTACAACTACCGCTTGAAAGAACTCCACAGACACTCTAAATATAAGAACCAAAGGACCCTGCCAAAAAAGCTGTAAAGACAAACCCTGTCGACACTTTAAAAGCTCGCGTTGACCACAATTAAACCTGAACCCGAAACCGCCACAGCCCTGAGCCCTACGGCCCCAAACCTCGAAGCTTCCAAACCCTAAACCCTGAACCCTCAAACTCCCAAACCCTCAAACTCCCTAACCCTAAACCCCTAAACTCCCAAACACCAAACCCCTCAACTCCTAAACACGATAAATCGTTAGCCGAACTTCCAAACCCTAAGCCCTAAACCTTAAATCCAAAGCCCCTCAGCTCCTGACAACAAAAAAGCCGTCCAGGCAGTCCCTGAAGCCTTAAAAGAAGCCCTCAACTCCCAAACCCTAAACCCCAGACCCCCACACCCTACACCCCAAAAGCATGACATTTTCTAAGAACCCTTAAAAGAACCCTAAACCCCAGACCCCCACACCCTACACCCCAAAAGCATGACATTTTCTAAGAACCGTTAAAAGAACCCTAAACCCCAGACCCCCACACCCTACACCCCAAAAGCATGACATTTTCTAAGAACCCTTAAAAGAACCCTAAACCCCAGACCCCCACACCCTACACCCCAAAAGCATGATATTTTCTAAGAACCCTTAAAAGAACCCTAAACCCCAGACCCCCACACCCTACACCCCAAAAGCATGATATTTTCTAAGAGCCGTTAAAAGAACCCTAAACCCCAGACCCCCACACCCTACACCCCAAAAGCATGACATTTTCTAAGAACCGTTAAAAGCCTAAACCCCAGACCCCCACACCCTACACCCCAAAAGCATGATATTTTCTAAGAACCGTTAAAAGAACCCTAAACCCCAGACCCCCACACCCTACACCCCAAAAGCATGATATTTTCTAAGAACCCTTAAAAGAACCCTAAACCCCAGACCCCCACACCCTACACCCCAAAAGCATGACATTTTCTAAGAACCGTTAAAAGAACCCTAAACCCCAGACCCCCACACCCTACACCCCAAAAGCATGACATTTTCTAAGAACCGTTAAAAGAACCCTAAACCCCAGACCCCCACACCCTACACCCCAAAAGCATGATATTTTCTAAGAACCCTTAAAAGAACCCTAAACCCCAGACCCCCACACCCTACACCCCAAAAGCATGAGCACCCTAAGAGCATGATATTTTCTAAGAACCCTTAAAAGAACCCTAAACCCCAGAACCCTAAACCCCAGACCCCCACACCCTACACCCCAAAAGCATGACATTTTCTAAGAACCGTTAAAAGAACCCTAAACCCCAGACCCCCACACCCTACACCCCAAAAGCATGATATTTTCTAAGAACCGTTAAAAGAACCCTAAACCCCAGACCCCCACACCCTACACCCCAAAAGCATGATATTTTCTAAGAACCCTTAAAAGAACCCTAAACCCCAGACCCCCACACCCTACACCCCAAAAGCATGATATTTTCTAAGAACCGTTAAAAGAACCCTAAACCCCAGACCCCCACACCCTACACCCCAAAAGCATGACATTTTCTAAGAACCCTTAAAAGCCTAAACCCCAGACCCCCACACCCTACACCCCAAAAGCATGATATTTTCTAAGAACCGTTAAAAGAACCCTAAACCCCAGACCCCCACACCCTACACCCCAAAAGCATGACATTTTCTAAGAACCCTTAAAAGAACCCTAAACCCCAGACCCCCACACCCTACACCCCAAAAGCATGATATTTTCTAAGAACCGTTAAAAGAACCCTAAACCCCAGACCCCTACACCCTACACCCCAAAAGCATGACACCCTAAACCCTGACCCGCAAATGCTTGAAGAAGCTCTTCAGGATCCTTCTAGGCCTCAAAAGGTGGGATGAAGGTAGGTAGGATTAAGGATCCCTTGTTAGGGTTAAGGGTTTAGGGTTTAGGGTTTAGGGTTTGGGTTTAGGGGTTTAGGGTTTAAGGTTTGGGAATATCCCACCTACCTTCATCCCACCTTTTGAGGCCTCCGATACCCTAAACCCCGAACCGCAAATCCTGTAGGAGCGGCTGGTCTCGCTGGCAGCTTCCTTCGGATCTTCTGAGTCCTCCGTGCATTTCGTTGCCTTGGCCTGGGCGCGGTCTTTAGGAAAAGAGGGCTTACTTAAAGGATCATGGGATGGGGTTCCTTCAAGGGCGCCTTTAAAGGGATCTATATGGCGGTCTATACGGGGTCCTCAGGGTTTACTTGAAGGATCATGGGACTTCGTAACTAGGGTTATAGTTAAGGTAACTATACGTATAATTACTTATAACCCCAATTAAGGTACTTATGACCATACTTACTAAGTCTCATGATCCCCATTCTAGAACCCTTATAGATCCCATTACGGAGCCCTATTATAGAACCCTATAGTACCCTTAAAGGGGACCAGTAAGTACATCCCATACTTACTAAGTCTCATGATCCTCCAAGTCGGGTCTGGGTTTAGACTTTTAGGCTTCGAGTCTTGGGCTTTGGGTTTGGGGCTTTGAGTTTGGGCCCTTTTGGGTTTAGGGTTTGGGGCCTGGGGTTTCGGAAGTTTGGGGCTTTGTGTTGTGGTCTGAACGAGGTTTATGCAATTTTGATGGGGGTTGGAAGGGCTTCTTGGTTTTACATGGACATTATCAACATAAGTCATCCCAGTAGCCAATGTAGAACCCTGAAACGATTCCTCATAGGAGCGCCATAGGAAACCCCTATGATATACTAGGTTCTGCTGCAGTATATGTACAACAAGGAACTCTAAGGTACAGTGTAGCTCATTATGCCAGGCTGCTGGATCCCAGGACGCCAGACCCTAAACCTCAAAACCCCTAAATCCTCAAACCCTAAAAGAACCCCTATGGACCCTAACCCTAAAGCCCTGCAGGACCTAAACCCCTGTACCCTGGACCTTTTTCGACACCCTAAACCCTAAACCCCTAAACCCCTAAAGCCCTAAAACCCTAGAACCCCTAAGCCCGTAAAACCTTAAACGCCTAAACCCAAAGAGCCCTGATGATGGGAGGCCAAAACGGGGTAGGGATTCCTTAATATGAAGCCTATTATGGGCTAGTCCCTACTAAACCCCCATAGGCTAAAACCCCTATTGGCATCCTATGACCTAAGCCTGCTTGGAGGATCATGGGACTTCGTAAGTATGGCTGTAAGTCCCATAATTGGGGTTATAAGTAACTATAAGTATTGTTATCCTACTAATACCCTGGTTACTAAGTCCCATGATCCTTCAAGTAAACCCTAAGGACCCCTTCTAGAACCCCATATAGATCCCTTTAAAGGAGCCCTTTAAGGAACCCCATCCCATGATCCTTGAAGTAAGACCCCTACGAGTCCCATGGTCCTCCATTGTAGACCCCTTATAGATCCCTTTAAGGAGCCCTATTATGGAACCCTATAGTACCCTTAAAGGGAACCCTAAACTATATAAGTCCCATGATCCTCCAAGTATGAGTCCCTGGCCTTTCGCGCGGCCACCTGACGACGGCCAAAAGGGCCGAGCTGCAGCTGCTTCTGCTCCTGGCGTGGGACTGCGGGTGCCCTTGAAGCTAAGTGTAGGGTTCCTTTAAAGGGATCTATAGGGGATCTATATATACTATAAAGGGTACTATCAGGGGTTTAGGGTTAGGGTTAGTGTGGGAACCTGATAAAGAAACCTTGGGCCTTTATATTGGGGTTCCGAATATGAATCCTACTACTTTGCGGTTAGAGGCCCAGGGTTTCTTGATGCAGTTCCTACATTGGGTTATATAATTTTTCGGTATTTAGGGGAATTAAACCCTAATGTAGGAACTGAGTTTAGGGTTTAGGGGGCCAGAAGGGCTTCAGATGTTGGTGTTCGAAGGTTTACGGGACTTCGGTGCTTTTTAGGACTTCGGGGTTCCTTCGGGAGCTTCGGGGCGCCTCGGGGTTACAATCGAGGGAACAAGGGCGTAGCGGTTTAGGGTTTAGGGTTTAGGGCTTCAGGGTTCAATGGTTGCATAAAGGATCATGGGACTTAAGTAATTACATTTATAAGTACCTTTATTGGGGTGATACGTCTAGTTACTAAGTCCCATGATCCTTCAAGTAGAGGGTTTAGGATTTGGAGTTCCAGGGATTCTTCTAAGGCCTCCTCCCTTCCGGGGCTCCTCTAAAGGCATCCTCAGAAGGCCCCTCAAGGGGTTCTATGAGGGTTCGTGATTTGGAGTTCGGACCTGGGCCCCTAATAAAGATTAAGGGAGCCAGAAGGGCTTCTGATTTTGGAGATGTGAACTAAGCTTTCGGGGACTTCGGGCAGGGTTTTGTTCCGTGGCGGTGTAGATCTTCGAATTGAAGGCTCAACATATTGATAATATGCATGTTCGGCTTGAAATGTAAACGCTGCATCAGCTATTTACAGCAGCTGTCTGTGCATGCGATCCAGCGTTTAACCTAAGCTCCGGTCGTGAGCGTTTGCTAGTTCATGTTACGGGATATTGCGGTTGTCATACCCTGTACATGCTCTGAGGTTTAGGGCGGAGGACTCCTCCGCCCATGTTGGAGGAAGGCTAGGATCATGGTCCTTGCTAATCATCTTCTGATTGCCTTCATCACCGCTGTTGTCGTCATCCTACATATGGGGGTTTCCGAAAATAGGGGACCCTAATATGGTACCCTAAATACTAGGATCCTTATTATAAGGACCCCCAAAATACGGTACCCTCATTTTCGGAAACTCCCATATCCTACTCTTTCGGGTACTTTATTCGGGTCCCCAAATTTCGGAAACTCCCATACAACCCTTCCTATGATAAACACCCTAAACCCTAAACCCTAAACCCTAAACCCTAAACCCTAAACCCTAAACTCTAAACCCTAAACACACTTAAAAAGAGGAGACCCCGAGTCGACCTTAGCCCTTATAAACCCTAGGACCCTACTTGGAGGGGCTTTTGGGACTTAGTAAGGGTTCTTAGAGGGCTCCTTAAAGGGATCTTAGAGGGCTCCTTAAAGGGGTCTATGGGGTTTAGGGTTTAGGGTCTACTTGGAGTGGCAGGGGACTTAGTAAGTAGGGTTATAAGTAGGGTTATAATTGAGGTAACTCCATTTAGGGTACTTATGAGTCTACTTATAAGCCTACTTACTAAGTCCCCTGCCCCTCCAAGTAGCCCTCACGAAAACCCGGGATCCACAGGAAACCTGGCCTTTTCAAGCTGGCGGACCGCTTGCCGGGCTTCCTCCGAATTGTTCCGCGCTTACGGCTTTTGAGCTTAGGGCTGTAAGGCTTCAGGAATTCGCGTCACGGGTGTAGTACCTTAAGTGCTGGAGCTCTTTAGTTTTGGAGCTTCGGGTATAGGATCTTAGGGCTTGGCGTTGACCACTTCCTAAACGCGACCGTGCTAACCCGGATATACCAAAGTCTAAGATGAGCATGCATGCGGAGAAAAGTCTTACTGTAACAAATGCGATAACGCAGGTGAGAAGGTGATTGCTTAGCGCTTTACGGGAAAAAACAACAAGAAGGAGCATAGGGACGACAATCATATCACGAATACCTATACTGATAACAACAACAATAATAAGAACAGCAACAACGAAAATCCACAGCTCAACGAATAAACAAGTGAACACATGCGTAAGTTTTACAAGACGTAAACAAGCACTTAAATAACAATGTTAGTGACAACGAGAATTACAATAATCAAGACCGGTAAGGTAATAACAGCAACAATCATACAACAACGTGAAACGAATCATACAAGAAACCCACTAACAATACTAACAATCATAATGAGAAGAATGTTACTGGTAGCAACAACAACTAACGTTGCTAGTACTAATAACAATTGGAATAAGAATGATTACAATAGCAAGAAGAGTAGTGCAAGTTTGACTGCTCCCCGTCCTTCTCTCGCTGGCGCATCTCATCCTGGGCCTTCTTAGCATCCTCGGCCTCGGTTGGAGCTTTGGGAGGGAGTTTAGGGTTTAGAGACACGGTTTAGGGTAAAGGGTTAAGGGTTTAGGGTTTAGGGTTTAGAGACAAGGGCCGCAGGGCTTCAAGCGGCTCTTTCATGGGGGCTTAGGGCTTAGGGTGTAACTCAGTCTTCGTCTTCAGCTTCCAAACTTTGGGGAATTCGGGCTCAAGAGCAGAAAGCGTCGAAGGCTGCTATAGGATTTCTATGGGTTTCTGCAGAGCGTCTTTGGAATTTTGATTATAGAGCATCGGGCTTAACAACCTCACTTAGCACGAAATTCAGCAACGGACCTGATCTCACACTTTATGAAGGATCCTCTGCGCCGCAGGGTATAACTTTGTTACAGGAAACTTGCACTTCTTCGGAGCTTTCGCATGCTCGCTCTCCCTGGTTGCGACAGACATCCCTACGGCCCTACGGGTCCCGACACGTTCTGAGGTCATGTGGAAGCCGAGGGCCCGGCTACTTGCAGCAGCTCCAGGATCTTCTGGCGCTTGGCGTCCTTCTCGGACTCCATGCTGGCCTCCGCTTCCTTGAGCTTCCGGCGCCGCTCGACCTCGAAGCCCAAAAGGAAGAGCAGATCCTCGTGGTGCTGCACCTCCTTCTGGCGCTCTGAGCACTCCTTCGCTGCCTCCTTCTTGCGTTTCCGCAGCTCCTTGGCAAGGCCCAAAGCCGTCTCCTCATGCTGCGAGGCCTCCTTCACTGCCTGGCTCAGGTGTTCCACCTCCGCCAAAGCCTCGTCCACCAGCTTCTGCTTCCCTGCCTCGACTTCCTTCGCCACGGCGATCACTGCGTCCTGCTCGATGAGCTCTGACTCGAGGCGTGTTTTCAGGTCGCAAGGGCTGGTGGACTTCAGCTCCGCCAGCACGCGCGCACGCAGGCCTTGCCGGCGCTTGCGCTTGCCGGTGGCCTCCTCTGCCTCCTCCTCCTCCGCTTCTGCCTGTTCGGCTTCCTCCCCGTCATCCGCTGCTTTCTCGGCCTGTGCTGTGACGTTTGCTGCTTCCGGTGCCGGTGGGGCATCCGAGGTCCTGGTGCCGTCTGGCAAATCCTTGCCCGAGTCCTCACCCCCGGCTTCGGGTGTCTCTGCCGCGACGGCACTGGCATCCTGCTTTGCTGCGGGGTCTGCAGCACACTCCACTGCAAAGACGGGCTTCGTGGGCTCGCCCAGCTCGCTGTCCTCGGCGAAGGCAACGGAGATCGGCGGAAGGGGCATCTCGAAAAGGCCACAAAGGGAACCTCAGCACCAGAGACAGAGCCCTGCACTGACACGACGAATACTTGCGGCACGAAGCTAGCCTACACGTAAGCAGGCGTAGGCCCCAGGCTGGGATAGGAGCACTGGAGGACAGATGCGGATTCCCAGATCTAGAGATCGGTGCAGCTGAAATGGCGGCATGCATAACTTGCATCATAGGAAGAAGCTACCACATCGCGCGCACGTCCCGGATTCAGGAAGTTGACACGTAGGCATTTACCTAAGTTTTGGATCTTGCATCCCTCGCTACCCGACGCATCACAGGACTTACTGCTACCGTACAACATGATGAATCAATGCAGCTGTGTAAGAGGGTCCTGCTGATGCCACTTAATAAGTCGCTACAGCCCCAAAAAAACCAAAAACTGAAACGCTTTCTTTGCAGAATCGATAGGGCCAGTAAAGGGGCCCTTCTGGAACCGTTTGACGAACTCTCAAAAACACCCTTGTGCAGAACGTTCACAGAGGCCTTGAGGGAAACCGTATTACAAAACCTGCAATAGCCAAACATGAAACCCTATTCCGAAACACATAGTACCCTAAAAAAACCCTCAAAGGAAGCCTAAATCCTGAAGCCCGTACAGGAACCCTACACGCTATACCGCCCCTAACGGGGACTCTGTTATAGCACCCTACAGCACCCTCAGAAGAACCCTGAAACCCTCAAGCCCTTAAGGAACTGCTTAGAGGAAGCGCGGTAGTGTTTTCTGGGGCCTTACAGCGAGGCTTTCGGCTGAAAAACCCGCCGCCGGCGCGAGCCTGGCGCGTGGGGAAAGCTGCTTTGATCTGGTTTTTTAGGATGTAGGGTTTAGGGTTTTGAGTTTCGGTTTTGTTGAGAGGATCATGGGACTTAGTAAGTAGGAATACTACAAGTATTAGGTTAACCATACTTATAATTACTTATGGCCCGAAGTAAGGCACTTGTAACCATACTTACGAGGTCACATGATTTGAACGTTCAGGGCGAGGTGTTGGATTCCGTGACCTGTTGAGGACTTGCGGCCTACGGCTTGTTCTTACAGCCCTGGGGATCAAAATAAAAGCCTTATTAGTATGGTCTTTGAGCCCAAAAGCCTTGATATATGAGTCCTTAGATCCCTAGGGCAGTAGCCCTCGCGAGTGCCGTCCTAGACTTATATCTGGGCTTCAGGGGCGTTGGGAATGCCTCATGCACCAGTCGTTCCAATGGTTCTCGGGGCCTGTCATATTCAATCACAATAGTCCCTTGCCAAAGAAACTCTGATGCTGCTCCTCTGTCTTTACTACAGGTTTCGAAACGGGGGGGTTACTATCAGGAGACTCACCTCCTATCACGACTCCATTGGTCTGGTGGGCATGCTGTGATATGCTGCTGTGACGGCGACGACGAGAGCCCTTCCTCCTACCATCCTCGCTCGCTGCGATGGCTTGAATAGGGTTTAGGGTTTAAGGCTTTAGGGTTTTAGGGGTTTAGGGGCTTAGGGTTTCGGGCACCTGCAAGATGATGAAGGCCACCAGCACACCCAGTGCTGCCTTGGCAAATTGACGGAATGTAAGGTTTGCGGTTTAAGGTTTGGGGCAGTCTAGGGTGTAGGGAATGTACGATTCTTATGAACTTTTCCTTGCAGGCTCCGCAGGCTGTTTTTGGAATTCTATACGTGGGTTTATGTTTCAGATTATGCCATCGGGTTTACCTACGGCTTAGGGCCCGGCTTAGGGTTCACAACGAGGGTTTTGGACTGAAGGTTTGGGCTTAGTCAAAGGTCCGGCTAAGGGTCAAAGAGACAAGCAGGTATCTTACGGTTTCGGGTTCAGGGTTTAGGGTATAGAGAGCTAAGAAACGCCAAACCCAAAACTCCTTCAACCGTCGACACATATGCAGATGAAACCTCAACGTGATCACCTTTTCGGAAAATATTGCCCGTTCCATGATGCAGCGGAGATGTCCTAGTACTGGCCTCTTGCACCGAAACGGTTGGCCACGACCCTCCTGCCGAAGAATTCCTGCCTGCGAAAACCTTAAAGCCTCACGGTGTTGAGTCTTGATAGCCTCAGGGGTCGCTGTCGTGCTCCTGGTCTTGAGGATATTGCGGCCCCTGCGCAGCTGTTGCTCAAGAAGGAAATCAACAACCGCGATGAAGATATCAACACTAGCACGGCGACAACTGTCGACAACATGTTGACTACTAACACGGTCAATCTCCACATAGCCGCACTGACCATGACGAATACATTACTCATGCTCATCATGTAGCGAAACGTGGGAGCAGCATGTTCTGCATTTTAACAGTGCCCGCAGTGAATGTGCCTACAGAGGTTGTAGCTCCTATCCCACATAGTCATCATGAAGAGGACTGAGATCGCACCACCACATAAGTCACAGGTCGGAAGATGTAAGAAGCTTGGAAGGCGGCCACCAGCGCCATAGCAGCCTGAACCATGAAGCTCTAAGGCTTTGCTTTTAAAGGCCTCCTGATTCTACTGCCCTTATAGATGCCTTTAAAGTGGCTGTTCCAAAAAACGTGTCTTTCCTTAATTAAGGCTTCTTGTGCTGTGCAGGCTTCGTTGTACTTGGCTGTTGCTTGCTGTGGCATTTCGAACCCAATGGTTTGCAAGGCCGAGCCTGAAACGCAAGGGGGGGTATGGCAGCTTTGGTGTTTTTGGCTTGAGATTTCGGGCCGAGGGTTTAGGGGTGCAAGCAAGATATAATGTAAAATCAGAACGGAACCTTTCGGAACCCACATCCTCCTCTGACAGCTTTTCCCCTTCCACGCCGTCTCTTGCGTGCGGAAGGAATAGATGCTTGGCAGACATTTGGACCTAAACCCTAAAGCCCCTAAGGCCCTATAACCCCAAACTCGGCAACCTAAATCTTAAGTCTATCCTTAAACCAGAAAACCTGGGAACAGTTGAATTCGAAAATCTCCTCAACCCCTCAACACCTGCGAGTGAGGAGGACTTAGGCTTTGGGCTTGAATAAATGCTATATGCCGGGCCAGCCGCAAAACGAAACAAAAACGAATCCCAAACATCCGTAAACCCCATATCCATCCAGCCGCTCCCGAACCGATATTCTGGCGCCCCGGCTGCGACGCCGAAAAGCGGATGCCGCGGGGCGATCCGGGCCACCAACTCCAGCGCTGGCCCCTTGTTTAGGGTCCTCTTAACGGTTCATGTAAGAGTTCCTTCAAGATTTCTTTGGACGGCTCCAGTTAGGATTCCTTGTCAGGTTCCGATACTGGGGTGGAAGGGCTACGGATTCGGGTTTGGAGAAGTCTATAATAGGGGTCTAAGGATACCAGGGCACAGAGACTGTAGTGTTTTGGCTTTAGGGTTTAAAACCGGGTGTAATTGAAAAAAGCTGTGGCGCCGCGGCCGGGCTTTAAGGTTTAGCGTCTAGGGCTTAGGATGGGTTTTCAGGTCCAAGCTGCAAAAAGCGGGCTTTGCATTCAGGGGCTTTTCAGTTTTGCCAGGCCTTTGAGTTCAGGGAAACTCACTTGTTTAGGGTTTAGGGATTGGGCAGTTGGACATTGAATTTAAGATGGCGTGAAGAACGAGCGGCCGGGGCTGAAGATGCTATGCGTGGCTTTGCAAAGATTTGGCTTGCAGGGTGGAGGGTTGAACAGTTTGGGATGGACCCCAAACCCTAAACCCTCAACCCCTAAACCCTAAACCCCTAAACGCTAAACCCTAAACCGTGCACATGCAAGCTTGGGGTTGCCGCTCTGGGAAGCTTAAGCCTCCTGACCTTTGTACATAGTCTGAAGCTTGGCTGCAAGGGGTTCCATAAAGGGTTTAGGGTTTAGAGTTTCCGAAAATTAGGGGTACCTTAATTTGGGATCCTTATAAGTAGGATCCTACTATTTAAAGTACTATGTTTTTACCGAGAAACCAACACGTCCTGCTTGCCATCGAGTGGGTTTGGATACCGTTCTTTTAAACGTCGACAGTTTGGAAACACAAGATGGCCGGCTGGAACGAAGCTTGTATGTTGGCTTTATGGTTCGTGCTGGAAACAGAAGACTCCGCATGGCCTCCACTTCACGAATTGCCTGCAGCTGGACAGGGCTGCCAGTGACCGGCGTCGCCATTTTCGCAGGCCAGGGCTGACGCTTTGAGCTTCTGAACTTGGAGCCTCTTTTGTTGAGCGGTAGACTGGTTGGTTGTAAGCTGTCAGCTTAAGGTGTAAAGTGAGACTCGATGTGTGCATTGTGAACATTACAATGTCGGGCTCAGCAATACGCGGCCATCTGCCTATCTTTCATGTCGTCTAAAAGGATGCTACCGGAGTTGGCAAATATTGACAAATCCGCCATGGTCGGCAGCATTGAATGGTAGGCTTTGGTTCCACGTTGTCATGTCGATGCTCCCCTCTGCACCCTGAGCCCCATCGGCAATCGCTCCAAGTGCAAGAACACCGGATATCGCAAAATTGGACGGCACATCTACAATATTAGAGATGCCACGCTGATGACAAAGCACTTCATGGCAAAAGTTTCTTCACAAACGTCGATACAGTCATGGGCCATGGGCGCACGGAAATAGCTTCTGCAGCGCACTCAGTACAACTCATAGAAACCGTGACATGAAACGCCGTTTTCTTCTTTCACCAGTGGGCAAACCGGAAAGGACCAAAAACTTTGGCCCCGATGTGGGGCCAGGTTGTGAGACACGCAAGCGACTTTATGTACCACTAACTTCGCTCACTTGGAGGTTCATGGAACTTAGTAAGTATGGTTATAAGTACCTTGATTGGGGCTATAAATCATTATAAGTATGGTTACCTTAATATAAATCACTATAAATATAGCTACCTTAATAATAACCCTAGTTACTAAGTCCCATGATATTTTAAAAGCAAGCACATGCAAGCAGAGGCTTCGGAGCTCAGGCGCCAGACCGACCTGAGCTCATTGCTTTGGGAGGGCTGTGCCGTGGGTGCTTGGAGGATCATGGGACTTAGTAACTAGGGTTATTACTGGGGTAACTATACTTATACTTGCTTATAACCCCAATTAAGGGACTTATAACCATACTTACTAAGTCCCATGATCCTCCAAGTAGGCATAAAGGCATGGCTCATACGAGCGATGGCGATTCTGGGGCCGGCCTGAGCCTCGTCCTATGACTCTAGCCGAGCCTGGGGGAAGCAGAAGTACGTCTGGCCATCGTTGGTGGCAAAGCAAGTCTCAAAGCCAGGAGCGCGAAGATCCGAAACCCGTTCCCCCCGCATCAAAGGTAATGTAGCATACCTGAAGGATCGTGGGACTTAGTAACTAGGGTTATTGTTGGGGTAACCATACTTATAGTTACTTAGAACCCCAACTAAGGTACTCATAACCATACCTCCTAAGTCCTATGATCCTCCAAGTAAACCCTAGACCCTATTAACCCTAAACCCTAGACCCCAAATCCCTAAACCCCTAAATCCTACACCCTCAACCCTAAAAAGCCCACGGACAGGTCATCCACCTGCGCTGGGATTGGGCCTGGCCGGCCCCAGTCGGGGCGTTAGGGTTCAGGGGTTTTTCATAGCTTTAGAGGTGTTCCAGACGAGGGTTACTAGAAGGACGGTTTAGGGTTTCGGGACTCTGCAAACGGTCTATTACTATTATTACTACTATTACTACTATTACTACTATTACTACTATTACTACTATTACTACTATTACTACTATTATTACTATTACTACAAGTGAAACACAGGTTCCATGCTCTCTCAGGCTCTTGGGGTTCGGTGTTACACGGTCTGTCAACTTACGAGAGGTTTCCTTCGTTTTACACGCCATTCACAGGAGTTGCCCGGAACTTGGCGGTTCGAAAGCCTAAACCCTAAACCCTAAACCCTAAACCCTAAACCCTAAACCCTAAATCCTAAACCCTAAACCCTTAACCCTAAACCCTAAACCTAAATCCTAAATCCTAAACCCTAAACCTTAAACCTTAAACCCTAAACCCTAAACCCTAAACCGAAATCTTTGTTGGCTCAGGGCTCCGGAGCCTTCGGGGCTCTATGGGTCATGGCATCGGGGGATTCAGGTCGAGTCTCAAATATCTGTAGCTTCAGACTTTTAGGGCTTGCTGTGTAGTAGTAATAGTAGTAGCAGTAGTAGTAGTAGTAGTAGTAGTAGTAGTAGGAGTAGTAGGAGTAGTAGTAGTAGTCGTAGTAGTAATAGTAGTTATAGTTATAATTGTACCCCATTCCTCCATTCCCTACTAACCAAGGGTAAGTATAGTGCTACGGCCGAAGGAATCAGGACTGGCGGCATGGAAGAAAGCTCCGGTCAATTAAACTTGGGCCGGTGCTGCCATGCTCGCCGAGTCGCGGATCTGGTGACACTCCTCCACTTTTTGCTAGATCTGGTCGTCCACGTGCACTGAAGAGCTAGCTTGAGTTTGGCTCTGATCCGCGCTTGGGCTTGCATGCCTTGGAGCCATGTGCTGCAAGACGCACCCAGTCAGTCAAGCACTGCAACAACTTCTCAGAGCTTCATGTGCCAAGTGCCCGGATGCAGTGGACTCCTGCTACGCTTTTCTGAGCTGCCCTCAGTCCCCGCACGAGCTTCCACCCCATCGGGTTCTTGTCCGGCCCTCCAGGCACGGGAGCCATTAACACAGCTGAGTCATGGATCAACCTCGTCCTCTTCAGGAAGACGACAACACGGGTCCTTTACCACAGTCCGTTGGTGGGAAACCTGGAAGTACCCCAGGTACCCTGTCGAAAGAGGGCGACGGTGTCCCGGACTCGCGAGTACAGTGACAGAGGCCACTGGGAGCAGATGGGAGTGAAATGTAACAGTCAAGCACACACTCCCACGTTGTTCGTGCTAATAAGTCCACCGCGTTTGGTTCATGGCCGCCTTGCCGCAGGTTGCTGGCTTGGCCGCAACTGCTGGCTTGGCTGCAACCGAACTTGAGCAGCACGCTCTACAAACGAGCCAGTCAGCGACCGATTAAAAATGCTGCATCATGCTGAACCATGTCCTAAAGGGCCACGAATCAAGCATGTTGTAGCCCGATACCGTTAACAGAAACACAAGCTGCAGCTGCCAACAACTTGACAAAGCAGCTTCAGAAAAGGGACGCCTTACCAGCGAAAAAGGACCCAGGTTAGATGTACGCCTGCTGCGTGCCCTCGTACAGTGAAGAACCTAAGCCTGCACCAGGCTTTTCTGTGTTGGCCAGACCCGACTCTTCGGCTGCCCGGGCATTGCTTGGAGGTAGGTCCTCGCTTGGACTCTTAGGGGGTTTAGGGTTTAGTGCAGGTCCTTGCTTGGACTCTTAGAGGTTTAGGGTTTAGGGTTTAGGGTAGGTCCTCGCTTGGACTCTTGCCAAACTCTCCTTCTTCCTTAGCCGTCTCTGTTGCTTTGCTCGTCGCCTCGTTCTTCGCAAAGCCAGGACTCTGGGACGGCGCCGGTGCTGCGAAGGAATTGGAGCCTATCCGGAAGCAGTACCTGCGGGAGTCGATCTGCCACAAACATGAATCCCTCTACGCCTTTCGGATGCCTCGCATTCAAAAAAATCATAAGCGTCTACGAAAACAAGCCCTTTCGCTCCACCTGTTTGAAAATTCGTTGGCATCGGACGGGACGACCTCCGTGCCCAGCAAAGACACCGATGCCAGCAGCAACTTGTTATCGTAGACGCCCATCGTCGACAACGCCTTCGCCAGTCCTGCCCGATCCATCTCTGCAAGCTTTGCCGACATGAACTGCATGGTTTCGGCGAGGAGGGTGGGCGCCGGCGTCCTCATCAAGATGCAACCCACTGCAAGCTAGAAGCTGATGTACGATGTCGACGATACTGAATGACAATGCCAAGGCCGAAGCAGAGACAAGCTATTTCGGTTCCTGGAGCTCACAAGATCGCGGAAATAAAGAGCTGGATTGAAAATGCCCGAAGGGGTCGTGACGCCAAAAAACTGCCCAGCCTATCATGCCGTCACCAACACCTGCCATCAACTGCACCTTCGCAGCGTGCACGCTTCAGCAGAGGCCTTGCCGCATCACCTCGCCCCAACCATTGAAAGTGCAAACATCACACTTACATGTACTCTGTCGGTAAGCGACTTGCCTCGCAAGTGTTGGGTTGGAGATCCAATGCATGTGTGCCGACGAGCTGCAGCCGTATAAATGGAGTGGCAACTTGTGCATGGTCGCAGAGCCACAGAGTTCCAAGTGTGTTTATTTGTTCTCGGCACCAGGATCGACGGTGCTTGTTGTGTTCCGCACCTTGAGGCATGGCCCTAATTGCTGGAAAAAGGTGACTGTCTAGTCGTTGGCCGGCGCCAAAGATCAGCTGCTGACGTTGTACTACGAGGAGTTGGACAAGCGACATCAGCTTCTCAACCGTTCAAATCAAAAATTGGTGCAACATCCTTGCTACTTGAAGAATCATGGGACTTAGTAACTAGGGTTATACTTAAGGTAACTCCACTTATAATTGCTTATAGCCCCAATTCAGGTACTTATAGCCATGCTTGCTAAGTCCCATGATCCTCCAAGTACTGCTGGGGGCAACTTCGAGGCTGCAGCCTTGGAACGGCGGCTCCGCCGGATTCGTGGCGACCGAGTTGGCTTAAGCCCCCCCGATTCGATACTAGCTATAACCGTCGTGGATGTGGAAATCTTCGTGCTCGAGCGGTTGACAGTGTTTGTAAAGCCTGTTGCTCGATGGTACTGGTAGTGCGACGCCGCATATTAGGCGCAGGCGCAGACTACAGGCGCATGCTGGACATGGTAGCATTCAGTTTTAAGGAATGCTCCTTTGGACAATCGTGTCTGCGTGCATGTTTCCTCCAGTCTCACACCAATGTTGCATGTACTCTGTTGGTGAATGCTCTCACTTAAGTAAGCGTTGGATTGGCGATCTACTGCATGTGTGCCGAATGACTGCAGGCGCTAGCCAGTCAGAGAACTGTTGCAGAAAGCCAAAAGCACCAAAAAACATGTCCTCTGGAGGTTGAACGCGATGAGCTCCTGCTGCCCGCCAAGTGCTGCCCGGAAGGTCAAGGCGGAAACGGTCATCACAAAGAGCAGGGTTACGGCTGCCCCCATCATGCCCATGATCACCGAACCCACTCCATCGGCGAAGTCTTTCATGCTACCCTCGAGGCCGCCTAAGTACAGTGCATTCGAGGCCACAAGCATTGTGATGCAGAAGCCGATGAAGCAATCCAGCACGTTCAGAAGCGGCACCTTCCATGGCCAAGCGTTTGCTTGGATGATCAGTATGACCATAAACACGAGCATGACAGACATGACCTGGACAGGCGGATAGTCCGTCGCCAACGCGATCGGGAGCGACATCAGCGGACCCCGTAACAGCAACAGCACTCCAAACCACCAGGAGTCCAGCCGAAAGCGGAAAAGAAGGAATCTGAAGGCTTTCACATTGGCGTGCTGCCCATTCCGGCTCCATTTCGGCACCACGATCACGGCATAGGTGCATACTGCCAGGAAGCCCACGACGCCCAGCAAGAGGAGCAACAGGCCGCAGATCAGCATGACGGCGTGATCCTGCGCGGGGTGAGTTTCTCATATCAATATGATTTGTATGCATTCTGCAGGTATGCTTCCAGTTCTTCTGAACCAGGCTTGCACATCCGACTAACTACTGCAACTCCGCCCAGGCATAGGGTAATCATGATGTATGATGTACAAATGGGTGGTTGTCAAAATTTGGGTCCCTTTTTGGGTACCCGACATATCAGGTGCCGTACTATAATAAGGACCCAAAAAGGGACCCTAAGTTTTACAACCACCCAAATATCTACAAGAAGAGTGGTGGTCCTCCGTGCCACAAGTGATGCTGGGGTACTTCAAGAGGCTGAAGACGCCGCTCGGGTGACTGATCCAGGGATTCAGGCTTGAAGCTTGGGGTCGTCTGGAAGTTAGGTTTAGGGTTGAGAGTTCGGGGTGGGTTTAGGGTTTAGGGTTTAGAGTTCAGGGTGTAGGGTTTAGGGTGTGTCTAAGCTCGAGACAAAAGTTGTTCTCTGGGTATCTCTACTTGCAGGGTCGGGGGACTTAGTAACTGGCTATTTTAGGGACTTATAAGTACCATAACCCCAATTAGGGTCCTTGTTGGGGTAGTTACAAGTCTACTTACTACCTACTTACTAAGTCCCCCGACCCTCCAAGTAGGTTCTTACGGGGGCAATGCAATGTTCACCCAACGCCTGAAGCACATCATCGGCGCCATGGAAATGGTGCTCATCGTGCTGAATGCAAGCTGAAGCAAGGCCCCAATCGTGCTCTTCGTCTTGCTGCCTTCCCATCGCAGCCTCTTGGGGAGGAGCTTGGATGCATGGTGGCAGCTCACGAGCCAGCACACAGCACTCGGGAAGACAAGGACCGACACAATGTAGCGAGCCGGGGCCGAACCACCTGCGACGCAGCTGAAGGCAAAGTTATCGAAGTCCAGCAGAAATACCTGAAGAAATGCATATATGGCTCTCAAACCTTCAGGGACTCGAACGGTCATCGTCCCAATGATGCCGACGGCCTGTAGCGACGAGATGGTCATGCCGAAGGCACAGGTCGTTGTAAAGAGCACGGAGGCCTTGGCCGTTTTTTGAGCAGTCATCATGTAGTAGACCATGACCAGGCCAGCCAACATCACTGTGACTGCGAGGATCCAGCCTAGTTGCTGCCAGGGCGTGCACTCCTCGCACTGTCCCTCAGACCTGTCCCAGTACCTTCCGCTGGGGCAATCGGTGCAGGCCGTGTTGTTCAGTAGTCCCGTACAAGTAGCAGGGATGCCACCCGGACAGCGGGTGCCTGCAGCAGCCTCGACGCAGCGATACAGGTCGAGCGGCTCCGCCGTGCTGCTGTAGAATCCGGGAAGGATGCTCGCTACAAACTCTGAGCCGAGGTTCGAGCTGCCGGACCGAAGGCCCTGGAGTGTGGCGAGCGCCGGGCAGTCCAAGCCTGTCACACAACGCATCGTTTCGGTCTTCGGTCTCGCTCTGAACAGAGAACAGATCCCATCCGGCGGCCCCGGCCTTCCCCGCACTGGTGCTCTCCGAAGCATCAATGAAGCCAGTCGGGCAGCCACAGTCCTGAAGTGTAGTGGACCCCAAACCTAAGGTCGTGCCACCTGCGCAAGGCTTGCAGCTGCTGGAACCTGGCTCATCCTGGTACTCACCGATTTTGCAACGATTACATTCTTGACTGCCAGAGTTATTCTGCGACTTCCCAAGCTGGCACAGTTCGCACTGCAAAGCTGCACCCGATGCTTGGCTACTTCCAGGTGCACAGAACTCGCACACATGGGTAATCCCTGTCAGGTCATTCAACCGAGCCGAATATCTTCCGGAAACACAAGCACGGCACTCCAGGAAGGTCGGGTCTGCACGTGTGCCAACAAAGGTATCTTGAATCGTGTCGTAGAGGCCGAAGCCGGGGGAGCACTTGGTGCGGTCCGGCAGCCACTCCTGCCAGCTAGGATTCGACTGCAACCAGCGACCTTGGCTGTCGACCCCTGGCTCGCGCTGCTCGACTCAGCTCTAAGCATCACACCCCGAAAAACAGATGCAAACATGAAGCTGCCCTCAAGTCTGTACATCGTTGACCAAGTGACAGGCCACAGTCTCATAGGAGTCCCCGCTGTCTTGCATGTCCTTCAGCATGTTCATGACATCGTTGCGGCCCAATCGCAAATTCCGCACGAGGTCTTCCACCGAGGGCGCTAAGGTGACCAAGTCCTGGCTGACGAGCTTGGTAACCGCGGTCGATGCAGCCACAGTGCGCTTGTCACCACTGGTGTACGCACGGAAGTCATACGGAGGAAACACGATCTCGACCGGATCAAGATCCAAGAACGTGGTATCTGGAACCCACCAGTAAAAGAACACGTTGACGTCTCGAGGGAGTGTCGACCACGATCTCGCAACCGCGATGGCGACAGGCATGTCATAGCTAGTAACCTTTTGCATCAAATCATCCATACCCCAACCCGAGCCGCCAGTGACATAAGGCACACACCGAGTCGAATCTTGGCGGCAAGTCGGAGAGAGCCAGAAGTAATCGTCTGGACAAATGGCAGCAAGCGACCCATCAGGGAGCCTCTCGACACCCGCGTCGTCACCTGCCGCTTCTCGCCAACATGATTACGCCCAGGCCTACACAATGACACCAAGCCCACTCGCGCCTAGCTCTACAGTGTGCCCTGCCCTTGTTCAGCAGCCCCACCTGTGATGCGCAGATAATTTTCGTTCGCTGCTGTCATCGTGGAACGAGTTTCTGCACAAGGGACGATCAGGCTACGGTTTATAGAAGCCAGCTCAGCGAAGTACCTTGATGGCTCGCTCCACGACATGTTCCATCCGCGGTAAAAGTCCAGCACAATCCCATCCTGGTAGTAAGCATGGTTCTTCACTGTCTTCCGGATGAAAACGGAAGAGGTGCCATCGTAACCCATGCTGCCCACATCCACAGGAGCCATAGAGACATATTGACTTTGGATGAGTTTCCACTCATTCTGATAAGTTTCCGACCATGCCTCGAGACTAATGTGGTTGTAAGTCAGTGGTTGACCACATGCCCTGTCGCTGCTGTTACCAGGCGCCTTACAACCAAGCAGCGCGTAGAAGCTACTCAAAGTGCCGGGACCAGGACCGTTCGTCTCAGCATGGAAGCCCATCTGTTCCTGGAGCCCAAGATGTCAAGAAAAGGCCTAACTTCCCGATAAATCCGAAAGCAAAGCTCGGTCCTCGATGATGATCTTCAGTAGGTGGGTTGTGAGGAAAGATGCATCCCAATCACAAGTCCACATGCCAATGGGGTAGGACTCGCCATTGACATTCGTCAATTACTTCCGCTGGCTGATGTTAATGGCCTCTGGCAGGCACGATGCACCTGTCGGAACTGGGAAGAGGACGGCCAAAAGCACCAACCATGCCATGCTCGCAGACACAGGCTTTCGAGACGATCTGGGCATGAGCCTGAAAATCCTCCGTGAGGTAAATTGTTGACAAATCGGCAAAAAGGCGCATAGCTGACCTATCTCATTGCGCATCACTGCATTGACGCTGAAAATCCCCTTGCCACGTGGTTGCATCGTTTAGACTCAATCGTTTCTGCAACGGGCATGTGCTTTGAGTTTGAAGGTTGCGAACTCGTTTGACCCCATCGGCGCCGACTTCAGACTCACAGAAGCTGGCTGTCTGAGCTGTCATCCAGGCGCTCAAGACTCAAGTCCTTGCCGGGACACTTTAGTCCCAAAAATCACGCATGCAGATCAACAAAGAAGATATGCAATATTCGTATGTTGCCACAAATCAGACCATGAAATCAGACAAGATCAAAGGGAGTCCAATTTCTATGTTTCATGTTGGAAATCGCACTCATTTTTTTTGTTACAATAGCAGCGTACAAGTCAAGGAGTGATTGATTCATGAATTCGGCATGCGGCATCGGCGACATGCCCCTCTGAGCCTACTCGCGTGGACATTTTGGGGAGAGAATAGGGACGTATCAATCACGATTGAAAGTTGTCTTACATTCTTTGTCCCAGAAATCATGCATGCAGATCAACAAAGAAGATATGCAATTTTCGTACGTTGCGACAAATCAAACCATGAAATGAGCAAAGATCAAAGGGAGTCCAATCGAGTATGTTTCGTGTTTTTGGCATAGGCGGGCTTCATCGACAGCGACGGCTGCACTCAGTCCCGAACCAAATCACGAAATCACAAACACGTGCAACAAAGGTGTAACGAAGCAGAGACCGGGTTACGTCGTTAGTTGGCTTGCCCACTCAACCTACCTACGGCCAGGCTCAGCAGCCGATCCGGAGCAGCAAAGTTTTTTTTTGGCGTGTGCGGGCCTCGTCGACTGCGTCAGCAGCTCTCGGTCCCTACAAGACCAAAAGCAGTGAAACAAGCTGCGACGCGCAGGCTTTGCCGGCAGGAGTCGTTTAGCTACGGTTCCCGCGCTGGCTTGCAAATTGCATCAGACCTCATAAAATGGCCCCTCTCAGATGGCCCCTCTCAGATGGCCCTGCCCTCCAGACAACGGGTGGAGCCCAATGCAAAGCTCCGGCCGTTCTAGACAACGGTCTGCCCCCGCGTCAAGTTTAAGCTGGGTCGTGCACACCAAAGTCCAAGCTAGGAGCTGGTGTATAGGCGTCCAGCGGCCAAACTCCACACTTGCGGCCCAACGCAGACAAATGGCCTCACATGGTTGCGTTCCCTAGGCTCAGACAGCGTTTGCAGAGTGGATGTGAACGAAGCACGCGGGTAGGACGGCTAGAACCTTGCATGGAGGGCTGCCATCAGTAGGACTCCGGGTCGGCCGCGTGCCAGTGGTGGTGTCATTGATGCCGGCCGGCCGTCGGCGGGGGCACATCAATAACCAATGGGCAAAAGGTCGTAACGTGGAGCAGCGGAGCACGTGCAAAATGGTCGCACCCTGCATGCACGCCCGTTACATCCAGTGCTCATCCTTCGATAATGCAGGCACTGTCGACGCGTGAGCTGGCCGCGTGCCATGGTGGTCATTGATGCTGGCCGCCGGCGATTTTTTTGGCGTCGGCGGGCTTTCTTGGCGTGGGCGGGCCTCAAAGACAGCAGGTTGCTGCACTCGGTCCCAGTAAGAACTACAATAATGCCAATAACAAAAACAACTGTACAAAAGAGAAGACTACGCATAACAGGGTGAGACGGGCCGCGACTAGCAGACTTAGCCGGCAGACGTCGTTCGGCAAGACATGCCCGGCACCTAGCAACTACCACCGCTCAGACCCCGCTTCCCAGTTGGACTGAGTCGCGCAATGGCACATATATGACATATATTGCCCAGCGTTCAACTTCACAACTGCCCAAGACACAGAAGGCTACAAGCTAAAGTAAGCAGACAGGCTAAGAGACTTTTGACTTTGCCGGAAACGCGAAGGTAGTCGAAAGCTGAAGCAGTGAGAACAACAGCTGAGAGCTGCCGAGTGTTACGACCCCTCTCGCCCTTGAACCGCTCGGTATACATAGCAACAAAAGCACCAAAGAATATAATATGTTGAAAGCCAGAAAGTAACGAGCGAAGCAAGCGCAAGCCCTTCAGGGTGGGCGGGCTGGGAAAAGAAAAAGCTGCTAGCGACAAGCAACTGAGCTAAGTCGAGCTGAGCTGTGTCTTGGGCCAAAACATTGTGTTTGGAGCATAATAAAGTAAAACATACATGAGTAAACACATGACACGTTCAACTTCACAACTGCCCAAGACACAGAAGGCTACAAGCTAAAGTAAGCAGACAGGCTAAGAGACTTTTGACTTTGCCGGAAACGCGAAGGTAGTCGAAAGCTGAAGCAGTGAGAACAACAGCTGAGAGCTGCCGAGTGTTACGACCCAATGTAATTACTGGCAAAGTCAAAGTCTCGCCGACGGTACGTTCCCCCAATGTGAGAAGTGAGGGTTTGACTGCTGCTCAAGTGACACGCTACACCCCGGGCAAACATCCTGCGGGCATAAAGCAGCCCACACATGCTGCGCCCCGGGCAAATATCCTGCGGGCTTACAATATGCACATAAGGCCCCGGGCAAAGATCCTGCGGGCGTAAAGCATACCATGCTGCACCCCGGGCAAACATCCTGCGGGCGTAAAGCAGCCATGACCTGCAGCGCCCCGGGCAAACATCCTGCGGGCGTCATGCAGCCATAAATAAACATAAGGCCCCGGGCAAAATTCCTGCGGGCGTAAAGTATGCAGTGCTGCGCCCCGGGCAAAAATCCTGCGGGCTTAAAGCAGCCATACATATACACATAAGGCCCCGGGCAAAGATCCTGCGGGATAAAGCATACCATGCTGCACCCCGGGCAAACATTCCGCGGGCGTAAAGCAGCCATGACCTGCAGCGCCCCGGGCAAACATCCTGCGGGCGTCATGCAGCCATAAATAAACATAAGGCCCCGGGCAAAATTCCTGCGGGCGTAAAGTATGCAGTGCTGCGCCCCGGGCAAAAGTCCTGCGGGCGTGAAGCAGCCATACATATCATAAGGCCCCGGGCAAAGATCCTGCGGGCTCAAAGCATACCATGCTGCACCCGGGGCAAACATCCTGCGGGCGTAAGGCAGCCCATACATGCTGCACCCCGGGCAAATATCCTGCGGGCGTAAAGCAGCCCATACATGCTGCACCCCGGGCAAATGTCCTGCGGGCGTAAAGCATAGCATGCTGCACCCCGGGCAAATATCCTGCGGGCTTAAAGCAGCCATACATATGCATAAGGCCCCGGGCAAAGATCCTGCGGGCGTAAAGCATACCATGCTGCACCCCGGGCAAACATCCTGCGGGCGTAAAGCAGCCATGACCTGTAGCACTCCGGGCAGATATACTGCGGGCACAACGCAGCCTTACATGTTCAACTGGCTTCAGGCAAAAATCCTGCAGACTTGCAACATATCACATGCCGCACCCCGGGAAAACTTCCTGCGGACGTAAAGTAAAGCAGTCATGACGAGTCATGACCTACACGCTGCAGCCCGGGCATAAAGCACTGTCTATCCGGGTCTGACTAACATAGCTAACCCGGTCACCGTTCAGAACCGTATGACGCATAAACCTCCTATATAGGATGTGAGCAAAGCAGTGCTCCGGGCTAGATGTTTGCACCGATAGTTTGCACCGATCATATACGCAGAAAACAGCCAAACTCTAAAACCGAAGGTGGCCAAGCTTGCCAAGACGTGCGCACAAAGCATCTGCGCTGTTACAGTGCATACAACGAAAAGTGGCGCAGGAAACGCGATAGAGCGTAAAACAAGCACTCCTCTCCATGCCAAAATCTACAGGTGCTAACTGCTAGACGCCAGCTAAACGAGCCAATGCCTGCGCACAAAGGCAACAGCACTGCGGAAGTGCATACTGCTAAGCTTACCATATGACGGCTCTAGCCCACGCTGGCTCTACAGTAACTTGAGCTCCCAAAGCAAAGCGCCGAAGCACTACGCAAGCAAGGCATAGGCAAGCAAAGCTAGAGCAACTTGTTGAGTTCACGAAGCAGAGTGCCGCAGCACTACGCAAGCGGGGCAGGTGAGGCAATACGCAAGCTAGGCAAATGTACTTCTGACGCACGAGCCGTCCTTGATGAGCCCGCAAAACAAAAAGCTAACGACTAGAATCTACGGCCTGCGTGCGGCCACGTGCCAAGCACTACGCAGGAGAGGCAAATGCACCTCTGATGCGCAGGGCTGTCCACCGATGGGCCCGAAAAGCAGTTACACCTGTAAAGTGGGCCCAGACGCCAAGCCAGCTAGAGCAACTTGTTGAGGTCTCGAAGCAAAGTGCCGTAGCACTACGCAAGCGGGGCCAATACCCCTCTGACGCATGTGCCTGTTCCGGCTCTCAAAGCTAGAGCAACTTGTTGAGCTCTCGAAGCAAAGTGCCTTAGCACGACGCAAGCGGAGTCAATACCCCTCTGACGCATGTGCCTGTCCCGGCTCTTAAAGCTAGAGCAACTTGTTGAGCTCTCGAAGCAAAGTGCCGTCGCACTGCGGGGCCAATACCCCTCTGACGCATGTGCCTGTCCCGGCTCTCAAAGCTGGAGCAACTTGTTGAGCTCTCGAAGCAAAGTGCCGTAGCACTACGCGAGCGGGGCCAATACCCTTCTGATGCATGTGCCTGTCCCGGCTCTCAAAGCTAGAGCAACTTGTTGAGCTCTCGAAGCAAAGTGCCGTAGCACGACGCAAGCGGAGCCAATACCCCTCTGACGCATGTGCCTGTCCCGGCTCTTAAAGCTAGAGCAACTTGTTGAGCTCTCGAAGCAAAGTGCCGTCGCACTACGC